GCCGCACGTCGGGGCCGAAACGCCTCTCACCCGCTATTTTGTTTTGGAAGACCGTACCGGACTGGAAAGACCGCATGTTCGAGGCGGCGGGATCGTACTCGAAAGGCATTGGGAAGAGGCCTAAGGAATTCACCAACGATGTCAAGGTAGGCTATTCGCCCGGGAGCGCTACCCCTCAGTGTATCGCAATCGGGGCTTGCTCTTGTTGTTGTTCTGCATTTTCTTCTTTTTCTACTCGAGTGTGTATAACACAACAATCTCTACCCATAGGAAGGGTCAGGAATAGAATTGGATTCATAGCGTTAGCGGAGCACTACCTCTGTTTTTTCGGTTCCCCAAACAGCATGGGGCGATATTGCCCTTTCTTGCAACATGTCAAACGGAGTCGGTGAACTCAACCCACGCTCTGTTGGCCTCCACGTTATTTCGACGTCAAGAGTTCGGTTCGATTTCCGGCCGCGACACCACAGCAGTTTTTGGAAAGGTATCCTTCGAAAGAACACGTGACCTCGACTGGAATATCACAACGTGCCGAAGTAACCGACGCCGGTATAGGCAGGGCTAACATTTCGCACCCACGATCGCTCGGTGTCCCAGATCTCGGGCTTTAGCAGATATTCCTGTTTTTTAGGCGCCCTGAGACTGACGTATTTTCATTCGGTCGGCCCCGTTTCGTGGTCGATGCTGGTAGTGAAAGCACCAAATACACCCAATGGCAGGGCCAAAGAATCGACACGGCGCTCTAGTATTCGGGTCTTTGTTCTGGACTCAATCGCGCCCCCCTCGGCGCTTCTCGCTTGGTGAATGTGATAGCGTGGTTTGGTGAGAACACGGCGTGCTCCGTCCCGGCATTGTGGGGATGCGAGGCCAATGGCCTAAACGACTACGGCATGCACGGCTATGAGTACGCCCCCTCCCCCCCCTCCCCCCCGGATTGACGTTGGCGTTTTTTTGGCTTCTTCCGCCTCAGGAAAAACACAAGGACGCTTCGCCGCTTATCGTGGAGGCGTCGGAGAAGGACGGTGGGCTGTACGAAGTGTATCGCTCTCTTGAAGCCATGCAGTCCTGGCGTAGACCAGACTCGGAAGAAGCGCATCATCAGTAGCTTGGCACCCGCGTGAAGTAATCAACCACAGTAGACCATGCCTTGTGTTCCTTGTGTGTAAAGTATTTGGTTCCCATTGATTCCGTCAGGGGGGGGCAGGGTTGGCTGGCGTTTTCTGGGCCTACCGAGCGGGGTTTTCCACTCGATCTGACGATTGTTGTGTGTGGCTGGGAGGTTCTTGGGTCGTGGTTCCGGAAAGTCCTCGGCGCAGATTGGCTCATTCATGAAGCGGGATGACATGGCGGGAGTTTGATCCCCGGCAGGTTGTTCTTTTTTCCCACCCCATGCACAACGCAATAAATTAAGTCATACGCAGCTGTCATCCGTACGCAAGGAAGTAAGCACAAGATGCCGAACACCCTTAGCAGGATGCAGCGCACCCTTCATGCGACTCGCCGAATACCTCACGGTGCTTCGCGCTTGATGATGTGAGAGCCTGGTCCGGTGAGAACCCGGCGTGCTCCGCCCCGGCTTTGTAGGAATGCGAGGTCAATGGTCTAACGACTACGGCATGCACGACTATGAGTACACCCCCCATGCACAACGGAAGTAAGCACAAGATGCCGAATACCTCACGGTGCTTCGCGCTTGATGATGTGAGAGCCTGGTCCGGTAAGAACCCGGCGCGCTCCGTCCAGGCTTTCTAGGGATGTGAGGTCAATGGTCTATCGACTACGGCATGCGCGACTATGAGTACACCCATGCACAGCGGGGGTTTCCCAAAGTCCGTGTTGGCTGTGGTTACACCCGGTTACAGAGGGCGTGGCGGTGGAGCGTTCAAGGGCAAAAACGCCACGAGAAGAGGGGGGTTGACACCAAGCGTTTGTCTACCGCCGCGTTTCATGACTTGTGATGAGGAGCTTGTGGGTGTTCTGCGTGTCTTGGAACAAGGTTTGTCTGTATTGTGTTGGCGGCACAGTAGTATCGGCTACGGTGTAAGAGAGGCTTGGGACAAGCGGACAACACTCGCTTAAGTTAGGTTTTCTCGTAGATGCGCGGACTTGAAACCGTGACCAGTAATACTGAATTTCTGTGCTCCTTGTCGGGAACGCGTCTTGTACAGCGCACTCTTGATGTGTTGGTTTCGGTCCGTGAGTCTGGGATGACTGCTGTAGCTATTGCCTTAGACGTGCTGCACAGCCGTCCGTCGAATTTCCCGTATATATGTATGTATGGAGTCCACGATAGGCAGTTTGTTTCTTGACTGCGTGTGCATTATGCCGTGTGCAATCAGGCAGCTGCAGCTGCGGTAGTTTCGGGTGTAGACAGCAGTTCCATCGGCGATTGGCGTAGATGATCAGGTGTGCGTGCTTGGATTTCGTGGTTGGGTGCATTTGTCAACGTGCATTTGCCAACAAACTACATGCTAGTAGATGCATATTCCAATGTAAGCGTGTTTCCTGGGCTCATGAGGTGCGGTTTGCTTTGGACAGAGTGGCACGCGGTGATATGAGTTGCATGAGAGTACAATCGGTATTTCCCTTGAATTGTTTTTCCGGGAGTGGGAGACGTAGCTCCTCGTTACAAGCAGTAGCCAACCGGGTGGTGATGGTGTCTATTTTTGTTTGTATTCCATTCGTTGGAGCCCCAGTTTACTCTTGCCGCAAGGGGAAACGCGAAAAAATAATCTGGACACATAGGCCAACCCCTCGGCGACGGCAGGGTTCGATTTCGATTTTTTAGGAATTAGGTATTTGATGTATGTAGGAACTAGTATTGGGGTTTTCTTTCTTTGACGAATATAAGTCGTTACCCCCCCTATTGCAGAGGGGCTTCTATCCACGGTGCCCCTATGAAATAAATTAGAAGTTAGACTCACCCTCCGATTTCGATTTGCAGGCCTATGTGTCGTTTTTTTTCGCGTGTACCAGTCTGTCCGGGGATATAGTACCGATTTGGACATCCGGCAATATAGTTCCGGGGTGGACTATTGAAGCGCAGAGGGCTATTTTGGTGATCGAAATCGCTCTATCGCCGTCCACGGTCATTGCATGACGTACCAAGCCCCCCCCCAAAAAAAAAGATGTCATGGGCTAACCGGGGATGCTGGAATGTCATCCCCGGGATATCAGAGATATTCGGCAATATAGTTCTCATTTGGAATATTGTGAAATTGACAGGGTTGTTTCATCACCGAAAGCTCTCCAGCATCCACAACCACAGCAGTGGACGGTGCTTTCCGCAGGAAAGAAAAAAACGGGTCGGATTTGGACCGGGGATGCTGGTTGATCATCCCCGGGTTACGACAAAGACGCGGTGACGCCCCGAACATTTCTTGATTTATTTTCCCATTCCCCCACACAACATCGTATTATTCCCAAGCTCCCCGGGAGCTTGGGCTCTCCAGCCCAAAATTAAATTTTGTCTGTGGCACGAAATCACACCACGCGCAGCCCCTTGATCGATCGAGTCTCAAAAGCCGATCTCGACACATACAGCGAGTGTCGCGACGCTGCGAGTATCTCTGTGTAGCTGAGACGATTCCAAGACGCCTTGCGATAGTTTGGGCAGCTGCTGCTCCCTGTGGCGCGAGATCGCCGGTACAACGTCTTTCGCATCCGTGGGTGTTGATTTTACCTGTGCGAGAAGGTCCGGCGGTTTGCTTTTTCGCCCCCACGCGCACACACGTCGCGGCCCGCCTACCTCGGCGCGGGCGCTACTTCAGCGCGACACTGCAAAGTTTCTCTGTGTATCTGAGACGATTTGAATTCGTGTAGCCGTGGTTTGGACAGCTGCCGCTCCCTGTGTCGCGAGACGTCATGTGCGACGTCTTTTCACATCCTTGGCTGATTTCACCTGTTCGAGAGGGTCCGGCGGTTTGCTTTTTCGCCAACCGGACCGCGGTTTGCTTTTTCGCCAACCGGACACCCACATCACGGCCGGCCCGCCTACCTCGGCGCGGACTCTGGTCTCTCCACGGGAGGCTGAGTTGTGTCGCTGTGCGATCGCTGTGCGCGCCGCTCTGTGCGATGGCAGCCAGGTGTGCGGTGGTGCCAGGGTCTACGCGCAGCGGGATGCCTGCTGGTTGCCTGCAGCAAGTCGTCTTGCTGTACAGCAGTATGTTCATAAATAAGCCTGTTCTGATATTCCCTGCGAGCAAAACTGCGAGGTGTGTGCATGGGTTGCGTTTTTGCTTCGCGTGTGGCTGAGGGGTTGGGGACGACGTTCCGTGCTTCTCTCTTTAGTGGCGAGACTAACTCGCGTCGGTGTTGGTTATATTGCATGTTCCGCGTGACGGCTTGCTCGCGTCTGCCTACAAGAAGAGACTATGCGTGTGTCTTCTTTTTTTTTGTGCAGAGAGCGCAATCGATATTCCGGTTTCTCACTTTGCGGCGTATTAGCCCGTTTGCGTTTTTGAGTGCGGCCATCACTTGCTGTTGCTATGGGTGGCTCCCATGACATGTGCGTATGTTTGGCCTGGTTGGCGTGGCTTTGGGTGGGCGTTCGCGGGAATGGAGCCGGCCCTCCTCGGGAGTCCTCTCAGCGGGAAGCGCCTGGGAATTTTCCACTGGTCCTACGGGGTCCTGCCGCTCGTTCTTTGTTCCAGTTCTTGCCGTTGTTTTTTTTTTTTTTTTTTTGCCGTCAAATTGCCGACCTTCGCGCCAAAATGCCGATCATCTCGAGCGAGTTGCGGCTCACCCTCCGTGTACACGCTTGTACGGGTACTCCTTTTGTTCGTGCGCGGTTGTAGACTAACCCTGTGTGTACGCGCTTCTACGGGTCCTGCTGCGTTTGCTGTTATTAGATCTGTGCTCGTTGGATGTGGTTGTCTCGTGCGCGTCTCGTGCGCGTGCGCATGTCTGATTCGTTCCGTTTTTTTGTTCGTTCTTTCGTTCGTATCCGGTCGTGACCGCCACTCCGTTCATGCATTCTTGTACCGCCACTCCGTTCATGCGTTCTTGTAGCTTTTTCGCCCCCACGCGCACACACGTCGCGGCCCGCCTACCTCGGCGCGGGCGCTACTTCAGCGCGACACTGCAAAGTTTCTCTGTGTATCTGAGACGATTTGAATTCGTGTAGCCGTGGTTTGGACAGCTGCCGCTCCCTGTGTCGCGAGACGTCATGTGCGACGTCTTTTCACATCCTTGGCTGATTTCACCTGTTCGAGAGGGTCCGGCGGTTTGCTTTTATAGTCTATCCAAAAACGGTTTTTCATTTGAGTTTTTACTCGTCGCGGGAGAGACAAATTCGTTTTTTGTCGCGGAACCCGCCCTCGGAAGGCTCATGCATGAGTTGTGTGGGGCCGGAACGGACATAAGATAGACTGCTAGCTGAGCAGATGCCGCCGAACAGATTTTTCAATCTCAAGACGAGAACACAAACCAGATTTCCACGCTGGCAGAAAAATTTAGCGGGCATGCAGTCGTGGCTCCGATTACAACGTGGTGTGACCAAGGCCCCCGACCCTCTTAGATCGGATCCCTTCTTACTCCGGAATGGCAGGGTCCCCAACAACTATTGCGGGTCGAATCCTTGACAACCGTTGTCACACTCTTCCATCTGGAGCCCCCTCTTGCGCAAGGGACCCTTTCGTCGGAGCCACGCCCAGCTGTAGTCTATACTGCTGTAGACACGCGGCACGAAGCATCAGCGAGTCGTGCCAGAGATGCAAGTCCTGTACAATGACATTGGGCCATAATTACTGGCCGTGTTGGCTGTCGACATTTTGGACGCAGGTGCCACAGCGATCCAGCTATTCATGGCATGCATGATGGGCGCGCTCATCATAATACAACCATGTCCCAGTTTCTATTCCCAGTGCTTGTTTTTTTTATTTTTTCTTAATTGTTGTTGTTGTTGTTGTTTCTCACATTAGCTCCATAGTCCACAAAAAATGGGGAGCCTGTGGTCTCAAAACCCGGCATATATATACGACGCCGCGAGGAAACAAAAGAGCAAAAATAGAGCACAAACCACTCGGAAAAAGAAAACAAAATGATAGAAAGACAAGAACAGGTATCGCACCGACCGTTCGAGAAAAGAGCCCTCGNTAGTCCACAAAAAATGGGGAGCCCGTGGTCTCAAAACCCGGCACATACGACGCCGCGAGAAAACAAAAAACAAAAATAGGGTACAAACCACTCGGAAAAAGAAAACAAAATGATAGAAAGATAAGAACGTTCGAGAAAAGAGCCCTCGGAAACCGATCAAAATACAACAAAAACAAAAATAAAGGAGGACGCTTCCCACACCCGCTCAAAGAAAAAATCGAAGGGTAACGTACCAGCACCAGGCCCCACGCACCAGGGCATGGGAGTAACGGAGCAAACAGGGCAAAGAGGCGGCATATGGGCAGACAGCCAGTCGTACAAAAAAACAAAGGCAACAGCAAAGCGAGATCAAGGTACCCAACACAGCAGAG